GAATTACCCAATCATCGCAAACACATATACTCAAAACAAACACATTTTCTACTTCTTTATATGCCGTGTCCGTTCAGAACGTAGACGATCATAGCTCTCCACCTCTTCCTGTTCCTTGTAACTCTTAATAAGATTGCTTTTTTTTCTTACGACTTCCTGTGTCTTTGCGAAATTAGTTCTGTAGATATTCCTTGCCTTGTAAATTCTTCTCAGTCCGCTTTTCTTTTTTTTTTCTTTTTTTGGTCGGGTGAACTGGTACAGGGTATTAATATTAAAATTAAGCATTAATATCCACATCTAACGTAATAAAACGATCTGTCTAGCGATTGCATTATAAGATGGAATAGGCAGGTTTTATGTATGTATAAATATTTGCAAGTAAACACGACCGACAATCGACTTGACTTGAAGTAATAATTCTAACATTATTGAGGATGAAAGAATATAAGAAAAAGCAAAACATTATTATGAAGAGAGAACAATAAAAGAACCTTACTAAATCTTGATATATTCATATTTTATCATTTCAATATGGTTATTTGTTTTTTAGAATTTAATATTTCCTTTGTCCAGTTTTCTTATTCTATCGCCGACATTTTTGCTTTTAATATGAGCGTATATTATCCTGTGCTGTTTTGCGCATTGTTGCTGTTGTGACTTTTTAAAAAGAATAATTTCAGTGAAGAAATTCAAAAAATGTAAAAGCAATTTTTACGAAATTTTTATAATAACACGTAGAATGAATTAATGCCTAAATCGATTAAAGATCATGTTTGCTTGCAAATATTTAATCATACATAAAAGCTTGCCTATGCTATCTTATAAGGCAATCACTAAAAATGTCACTTAATTGCGTCAGATGTGGATATTAATGCTTAATTTTAATATTAATAACCTACACCACTTCACCCAACCAATTGCGTGTATGTAGATTTTCCCATTATATGAAGAAACACACACACACACACACACACATACATACACACACACACACACACATATATATATATATATATATATATATATATATATATATATGAGAAATATAGTCTTAAGATGTGCTATATTTATGGTATAAAGTGCTCAATATCAGAGATAGAGCGTGTGTAAATATAAAACATAGAAGTCAACACTTAAAAGGCGACAGTCTGTTTCATGCTAGATGCAATCGTCAGGCCAGACCTGATGATTGCATCTAGCATGAAACAGACTGTCGCCTCTAAGTGTTGACTTTGTGTTCATTTTTTATATATATATATATATATATATATATATATATATATATATTTCTGGCAGCATGTTTTCATTAAGACAGCTTTTGTTAAAGAATTTAGACATGTTCTGTCTACTTATTCTCGATAGGATCCTTTCATATTCACGGATAAGCTTTTTGCGCGGTTATTAAAAGACGAGAGGAAAAATCCGTGTTGGCCCATATTGTATTTATTCCGAGTACTTTCGACATATCATAAATGTCATCATCAGGGTATTGTTAATTATAGAGTAACAATTTAGTGTTCATGGGTGTGAAGAACAAAATTTGGAACAGGGCAGTTATGTAACGTCGGTAAGAAAGTGTACTGAAGCCGAGATGATAGGTCAAGTCAAATAACTTTGCAGAGTCTTCGTTGGATTTTTATCAAGAATCTCTAGATATATAATAGAAGCAGAAGAATGGTAGACTTATAAATATGTAAGACTTATAAATATGTAAGACTGATTCTGGCGAATCTGTCTTAAACGTTTGTGTTTACGAGAATAATATATTGTTTTTCCTTGTGACTTCCTCTGTGTCTTTGCGAAATTAGTTCTGTAGATATTCCTTGCCTTGTATATTCTTCTCAGTCCGCTTCTTTTTTTTTAAGTGGGGTGAACTGGTATAGGGTATTAATATTAAAATTAAGCATTAATATCCACATCTAACGTAATAATGCGATATGTCTAGTGATTGCATTATAAGATAGAATAGGCAGGCTTTATGTATGTATAAATATTTGCAAGTAAACACGACCGACAATCGACTTGACTTGAAGTAATAATTCTAACATTATTGAGGATGAAAGAATATAAGAAAAAGCAAAACATTATTATGAAGAAAGAACAATAAAAGAACAGAGATTAAGATGACAGAAGATAACGACTGAGATTATATTTAAAATTTTGAAGATCAATGTTGACTGAAAAAGCAAAAAGCCGGAAGAAAATTTCACAAGCGAGACAGAAAAAAACTGTTAACATAGAACTTACGGTGACACTTTTAGAATTAAAGCACTACCTTGAGTGACTCTCGAGCTTTACATATGAAATGACCGTAACTTTCGGTTACGGTCATTTCAAATATTAATAGATGAGAGATCTAGCTGCCAATCTAATTCTTCTTCTTTTATGTGCCCTGTCCTTTCAGGACGTAGGCGTTCATAGCTCTCCACCTCTTCCTGTTCCTTGCCGATCTTAATAAGTTTTGACTTTTTGTTATTTCACACAGACTCTGTTCTACCATACATTTTCTCAATCCCATCAAATATGTTACGAGCTCTGTCCCTCTTTCTCTCAATCTGACCTGTGGGTATCAGGTTTTCCATGCCCTCTTTCCTCATTAAGAATCCCAGAAATTTCGGCTGCCTCTTCCTGATGTTACGTTTCCTTTTTGCTTTCATTTTCTCAAAAACCTCGTCGTTGCTCATATGTTCGTTCCATGTTATTCTCAGCATCCTTCTGTAGAACCACTTTTCTTTTGCTTCATATCTCGCCTTCACGTTACCATGCACAAACACATCCGCACACACATACTATTATTATCATCATCATCAATTCTTTATATAACCTCCCTATCCTCATACTTTTCGCATCCTATAGTATCCTATTTCACAGATACCACATCATTCTCATCAAAACCACTTTAAAATTAATGCGCTACCTTGAGTGGCTCTCCAGGTTTTGTTTCCAGAACATTATTTCTTTCTTCGTTCTTTTTATGTGATATGTCCTTTCAGTTCATAGGCGATCATGGCTCTCCACCTCCCTCTATCACTTGCAGTTCTCAACACGTTCCTGCTTCCTCCCCCAGACCACGTTCTGTCTTCTACTTGATTAAGGCCACCAGGTTATATCCCACGGTGTTTTCCCTTGTCTCCCTTTCTCTCTATCCAACCCTTGAGTATCAGATTCGCCAGGCTCTCCTTCCCGTGAACCCCGTATAAAACGAGGTCGGCTAGCTGTTTCCCGAACGAGAGACTGCCCTTCGACATGCCTCATATGGGGACCCTCTCTGTGCTGAGGCATAGAATTTGAATAGTACAGCTGGAGACGAATCTTCAACTGCAGAATATCTTACCAACCGAACCACAAGGCCGGTTTTAATGTGGAGTATCCGAGCCTGTAGTCTCAGCCAAAAATTATCCGTAGACACCGTATAGAACAAGGCCGGCTAGCTGTTTCTCGAGACTAGACTCTGCCCTTCGACATAGCTTCATCTGGGGATCATCTTTGAACAGCTGGAAACGAATCTCCAACTGCAGACCAACATACAGTATTTACTACTGTATTTATGTAAATAAGGTCATACCCATTATCGACCGTAGGCATGCTACAACACTTAGGTTTGCCTATTGCCCGGTTCACACACCTTTCTAGTCTTTTGAACAGGAGTAGAGGTTTATCCTTTTTTCCTGTTTCGCATTGTGTTTTCGGTTTCTTATAAAATCCTCTTTTTGCCTTTCATTCTCAGTAACCGCCTTGCGACTTGGTGGCTTTATCACCTTGCTTGGAGTAAACTAATTAAAAATAAATAGTCAAACGGCATTATAGTGAGCTTTGTATCATTATAACATTGTTATTTTATGAAGTTTCTCCTAATATAAGGCGTAAGAGCCACTTAAGTCAGAGTATTAAGGTGAAGATTATGAGGATTAGGTGATTAGATAACGATAGACACCTTCATTTGAAGTGATTAAGATTCTAGCGTTCCGGGTGGCACATAGGCAAGAAGCTGTTACACAAAGTTCTTGAAGGGAAAGATCTAGAATGAACCATTATTTTTACATTTGGGACACGGGAAAAAAGCTGATTCAATTTTTGTTTCAATCGATTTCCCGCCAATAAAGGCAGTAAAGCCACTAAGACACGAGCGGTTTTTGGGTGTAGAAGAAGACAAAAGCCTTACTAAAAAACGAAACAATTAATAGGGAATACAGTAGATAACGATTGACAATGCATTTAAATGTTTGAGCCAGAAGAGAGTTTCACAATCAAAAAGTTCGCGAAAGAAACTATTACTATAGAAATTACGGTTACATCTAGACCCATCAACTGTATACTGATGAGACCTTGTTATTAGTCTATTACTGCAATTATATTTTAAAAGTCTACGTAACATAGTGAAGAATTGCCATAAAAGTATTTATAGAAAAATAACAGAGGCAACATCATGGCGACAGGAAAGTGGCTGAAGCCGAAACACCAGATCATGACCAATAATATTGATGATTATTCTTTGGATTTTATCAAAGATTTTTAGATCTATGGCAGGAGAACCAGACTATACATGGCATCAATATTCTAAACATTGACGAATGGTAGACTTATAGATAAGTAAGAAATGTTCAGAAGATAAGCTGTAATGTGGATAAACATTCGGATATTAACGAAAGAGTGCTCCTAATATTATATGCACCACCGTCTGTCAAGTTGTTGGTATCAAGCATGTTTATATTTACTTGCTTTCAATTTTGTAGATATTCTGTTTTCAATATTCTTCATTTTTTTCATTTCTTTTTCCCTTTAAGTACGAAATTTTCGTGTTTCACTTTTGTTTTCATTACTTTGTTTTCGTTTTATCTGTCAATGTTATTTTATTTTAGATTTTTTTTAACGTTTTTTTTTTTTTTTTTTTTCATTGAATTCTGGACCGAGAAAAGAAAATTGCTCGCTTCCCCGAAAGGTTTATCTGAATTGAGTTTTGAAAATATTTTCCATAATTGACTTTTTTTTTTCTTAGAGATTCAGATTGTTTTTGTTTTATAGCCCCAACTCAGGTCACGCGTCGGCATGACGAATGAAACGGGTAAAGTTTGACGATTGGCTGCCTTGCGGTGGTCACGTGCAAATGTTTGAACGGAACCATGATACAGTTTTGCAAACAGAATAGAATAGAATAGAATATATGCGAACGAACTGATATAGATGAATTTGAAAGAACTAATGGATAGATAGATAAGAATGAACACATAAAGAATTATTTGAATGAACTGAGATAGATAGATAGATAGATAGATAGATAGATATGAAAGAATTGATATACATAGATAGGGAGGAACTGACATGGATAGATAGAGAGATAAAAATATAGGAATAGAATGGGAGAGTTCGAACGAAAAGAATTGAGCTAAATATTCCGATATTACCTTATATATATATATATATATATATATATATATATATATATATATATATATATATTATAAGGGATAGTAATATTAATTTTTATTATAATTATAATAAAATATAATAATACATTGCTCTACTTTGTATTGATCACTTTTTAAAAAGTAAATGCGACGAACAGTGGGTTTTATTCCATCAGTGATTTCTTACATTTATTTATATATATATATATATATATATATATATATATATATATATATATATATATATATGGATTGGTGTGAGTTCGCGACTCTGGGCTTCACGCTTTTGCCATCGTCAGACAAAGTCACTAATATATATATTATACAAAATGATTAATTTATATATATATATGTAAGCAAATATATGGATATAGATCCGACAATATGAAGAAAAATATATACGGAAAAAACAAAACAAAAATCCTTATATACAATTATGCAGTTTTAATGTTAATATGTCAACGTCGGACGTTTCGGTCTAATAAACCATCTTCAGGACATATTCATGAATTATAACATTATCAATACAACATGACAAAGACGATGTACATAAGAAACAAGACTTATCCAAACAAATAACTGAAAGTTTTATAAGATCAGCGCTCCGTTTAAAACATGTTCACGTTGTCGTCACGTGGGCGACGCTGTGAAAACGTATTCCTAAAATTTTGAGTATTTTGAATGAAGAATGAAAAGAATTCTATTTTGAACTAAAATTTATATGTACGCTTGTCGAGCTTTAATCTCGCTAGAAAAGGGGAAATATTAAAGAAGCCAGGTGAATATATATATACACTTATCATATATATATACATATATAAATTCATGAATTATTCACACAAAAACAAATGCAAAGGTTAATGATTTAATTGGCGAGAAATCCATCGTCGCAAACAATTCAAATAATATACAAAAACCTCCGAATCCGTTATGAATGAAAAGATCCTTGTTTCTATAAATTTCTGCCGCATTAGTTCTTATTTTTACTACAAGCTTTCGTCTGTTCCTACAGAACAAAAAATTCGTTTATCACCATATTTGTACATGAACGCACAACTGTAAAAAATTTAAAATCAAACTCAGCGTTGCTATTGCACGCTCCAAAAACAATAACTCATTTCCAATAGCATTTTCGGATACAACAATACATATATTTTCGTTTCCCTCTTATTACTAAGAGAAAAAACAAGAACAACATCTATTCTATACCTGAAGATGTCTGTAGGAACAGACGAAAGCTTGTAGTAAATATAAGAACTAATACGGCAGAAATTTATATAAACAAGGGTCATTTCATTCATAACGGATTCGGAGGTTTTTGTATATTATTTGAATTGTTTGCGATGATGGATGTCTCGCCATTTAAATCATTAACCTTTGCATTAGTTTTTGTGTGAATAATTCATGTATTTGTAAACTGATTGCACGTTTATCGTAATTTAAATAACTGATCCAAGTGCGACTTTTGGATAATAAGTGCGACATTACTGTAATTATTGAACAATATAGTTCATGCCACTTGACAGAAAAAATTTACCAGTAAAAATTTGTTCATCACCATATTTTATATGAACGCACAACCTTTAAAAATTCAAAATCAAACTCAGCGTTGCTATTGCACGCTCCAAAAACAATAACTCATTTCCAATAGCATTTTCGGATATAACAATACATATATTTTCGTTGTCCTCTTATTACTAAGAGAAAAAACAAGAACAACATCTATTCCATACCTGAAGATGTCTGCAGGAACAATGTCGACAATATAGTTAAATTACCATATGAATTCTGTGGACAATTGTCATTTGATACAAATCTGTCTTGTCCACAGAATTCATCTGCGAATTTAACTATATTGTCGACATGGAAAAAAAATAATAATAATAATCCCTTACTATAAAGGTAATTTACATTAACCAGAAAAATGGCTTAGGAGACAAGCGTCTATCTTTTTAATTTTGAATTTTAATGTAACTATAACAACAAAAACATTTCGATTTCATTTTTGCCTTGAAAAGTCGGAAGACGAAACGCGTCGGCAAAATGTATGATTTTTTTCAATTGTCATTTGATCATATATATATATATATATATATATATATATATATATATATATATATATATATATATATATATATATATATATCCAGGAAATATGAGAACAAATGCAGTATAATTCCACTGTCCGTAAATTTTAATCCTAAAATAAATAATATATATTTAAATGGTATATATATATATATATATATATATATATATATATATATATATATATATGAGCTAAGATATTACAATAATTCGTTTCGGCCTTCAGGACATAAATGGATTAAAATAATGTGTACATTGATGTAATTACACATTTTTTTAATTTGTTTTGCCTATATAGTTTAGAATTTATATATCTTTCCCTTTTATACAAAGTTACTAATATATATATTAAACAAAAAATGTATATATATATATATATATATATATATATATATATATATATATATATATATATATATATATATATACATATCATATATATATATATATATATATATATATATATATATATATATATATATATATATATATATATATCCAGGAAATATGAGTACAAATGCAGTATAATTCCACTGTCCGTAAATTTTAATCCTAAAATAAATAATATATATTTAAATGGCATATATATATATATATATATATATATATATATATATATATATATATATATATATATATATATACGTCGAATTCGGCGGGGAGTGTCGTATATATATATATATATATGTTCGTCTGTGTATGTATATATATATATATATATATATATATATATATATATATATATATATATATATATATATATATATATATATTTGGGCAGAAACCTTTCTTTTAAACACATGAAATTAAAAGTATATTTAATTAATTAATTAATTAAGTTGTTTTAGTTTTTCCTAAGTTTTTATATTTTTCCGTTTGGTGGAAATAAAGAAGTGAAAAAATTGTACATATCATTCCAATTCGGTCAATTGTTTAGCCACTTTCAAGGCGACATGTTTTAGATGTTAATTTCTCTTCATGTTTTGGCTTTTTAATATATATATATATATATATATATATATATATATTAAATATCATCTAAATTTTTATTTATATATATATATATATATATTTGTTATATTCGTCATCTTTCGATGGCCAGCGCTTCTCAAAATTTCGTTTTTTATGTTCTCCAACAGCGAACACGCCAGTTCCGAGGTTCTCACAAGTGAGGATTTCAACGTTGTGACAACTACAGAGAGTTTAAACCGATTGAGCGGCATGTCTGCACATGGGACTGAACAACTGACGGTATACACAGGTCGATGGTGATAGGCATCTCTTGTTGGAGGCTTTCCTAGATTGACGTACACGGCAGGGGCGTAAGTTCTCACCGTGGAATCAATGGCCGCGTGTCCGTGAATAAGACGATACTTCAGAGGACATCGGCTGCATTTTGACCTGCTGATGGATGGGCATCAACGGGTTATTTATTTTGGTCAAGTCTTGCTGCACACGAAAGAATATCTACCGGGATATGTGGATGGAGCTGATGATGTTGACGATAGTCATAACAGGACCCAATCAGCTACCATTTTAATATGCCATCAATCTAGGTATAGATAACATTGATAATGACAATGATGATGATACTTAGTCGATTTTATCCCCAACAGAATATATACTATCTATATTAGTCACACCGCAACTACGTTGTCTAGAAAGTTGAGTTTTCATTTGAATGATGCATCTAACATCTCTCAACATTTACAAGATCATGCCTGTCCACATTGAAAACACGTCTATACTTTTTCATGAAACGTAATACACATAAACTAAAAATTCATGTAGCAATCTATATTAAATAATTGAAAACAGCCCATAATGAAAATAATTATGAATACTGCACAAATGTTTTAAATTTTACACTTGATACTTTAAAAATATCTAGTTTTAAACTAAGAGCTTTAACTAGTTTTAAAAATAGTTAAACATCTCAGTAATGTAGTTACCTCCTGTGACTTTACTGCACATGCGTGCTTGCATAATAAAATTTAAAATCGCACAGTACATAAGTAAATCGATTTTCAATTCACAAGTAAAGAAAATAATTTTCAGCCGAACACAACAATTTTGGCTTAGAAAAAAAAAGCTCCTGATGACGACATTGCGCTAATGTCAAAAGTACTCGGAATAAAATGAATATGCATAATCATAGTAAATATCTTTCTTCTTTTAATAAGGATACTTAGAAACTTGTCCGTAAATATGAGAGGTTCCTATTAAGAATAAGTAGATAAAACCTGTCTAAATTGCTTAATGAGAAATGCCTTGATAATGAGCTGTTCTAAACTTCGTATACTTGCTCCAATTTTGGGAGAAAATATGATTTATTTTTACTTATTTTTTTTTCGCTTATTGCTTTTGGGGCACAAACTAATTTTTAATCTTACTATTATAAAGACCCCTTCCCGACCACCTAGTAAAAAAGTTTACTCACCCTAATGTATTCTATTGATAATTATAATTTTGGATATAAATGAGATTTAGGGAAAAATCTGTGCAAAAAAAGTTTCATCACTTATTTCCTGCAACTAGCAATCAACAGAAACATAACCGAACAGCTTTAAATAAAGAATAATAGAGGTATAATTTATTTATAATAGGTAATATAGTTCGAAATATTTAATAATCCTTATGCCACACATATAAACTAGGTTTAGTAAATTGATATAACTGCTCAGTTTTCTATCCGAAACTTAAGGCAATTTCAAAAGAATTTATATTTTTTATATATTAATCCAACATATTTTTACCACTTTAAACCTTATTATTGTGAATACGAGTAAGCACTAAAAATAACACTTAAATTAATAAAAATATATCAAATACGTCTTAGGTGCGAAGAGATTCTTATTCTTGATAGACGTATGGGCAGTTATCGCAGCGTTATGCTACCTCACATATACGGTCTCCCTAAGATTCACAAATACGGTATTCCGCTCAGGCCGATTGTTAGTTGCCAAGGCTCTGTGTGCCACCCTCTGAGTCGTTTCCTTGTAGATATAATTGACCCATTGATCGGAGAGTATCTTTCATATGTCCGAAACTCCGCCCACTTAGTGAAAATAATCAAAGATGCACCCATCCTATCCAACCAGATGGTGAGCTTGGACGTGGTGAGTTTGTTCACCAAGGTACCCACGGAGGAGGCACTCTCAGTAGTCAGAGACAGATTGGCCTCTGACTCTTCCCTAGAAGAACGGACCAGTATTCCAATAGATAATCTGATGGAGATGTTGACTTTCTGTACACAAACAACACACTTTAGAATGGGATCACACATATATCGACAGGATAAGGGCTTAGCAATGGGCTCGCCATTATCACCAGCAATGGCGAATATATACATGGAATACTTTGAAGAAATGGCATTAGAATCTATATCGCTAAAGCCAAGTATATGGTTAAGGTACGTAGATGACAACTTCATACTCTGGCCACATCAGGAAGATGTCCAGGTTCTACTGGACCATGTGAACTCAATAAGACCTTCGATACAATTCACAATGGAGAAAGAGAGTAACAACACACTCCCATTCTTGGATGTTCTGAGCATGGGTTTAAGACATCCGTATACCGTAAACCAACATTCACCGGACAGTACCTCAATTTCGACTCCCACCATCCATACAGCGTAAAGAAAGGGATCGTTCGTTGCTTACAACACTGAGCAAAAGTTATAAGTGGCGACACAGAAACGTTAAATAAAGAATTGATCAGTATAAGTAGTACCCTACAATGTAACAACTACCTTGGTTTACATGGCAGCAGCCCCCCCCCCCCAAACTGGAATAGGCGGGTACAAGAGGAGGAGGACAACAACACTCAGAAAACAGTCTGCCTGCCTTATGTGAAGGGGTTATCAGAGATAATACAAAGGATCTGCGGTCCATATAACATCAGGACAACCTTCAATGTTTGACGAAAATTCGCAGATATCTCTCCCAAGTAAGACCCCCCCATAGAGGAGAACATGACTAAAGACAGTGTGTACGCTATCCCGTGTAGAATAGTACCTCATCTCAGAAATATAGACAGACACATGTTTTTATTTTGATATCTTAAAATGAATATATATATATATATATATATATATATATATATATATGCTGTTGACATAGCGCTCTTTGAAATAGGACATCTTTATAACAACACAAAACACGATACAATTAATAAACTTAAACAAACCTACGAGGAAAACTCAGTCTTAAAATTCACAGTCGAACTAAATATCAACATCCAAATACCATTTCTGGACGTACCCAAAGACTCCAACAACAAAGATACATTTAATACATCAATATTTAAAAATTCCAACAAATAACAATTTCCGTCTGAATCAACTTCCATAGTGAACGCCTACATAAATATAAAATAACCCTAATCAAAACATAATCAACAGAGCTTTTCAAATCTCCTCCTCTAGAATAACATTTTACAAAGAACATACCAATATAAAACAAACGCTCGTAAGTATCAATTTCTTCAATAAATTAGTTGACCAACATAAACACTACCTTTCTAATAGTCATAATAATAACAAAGATAAACTGACAACACGAGCACTATTAATTTTATCTATAAGAATCAATTGCATAATAAATATTAACTTGACGAACTGGCTATAACTAACACGATCCACATATACACTAATCCCGTCCATCAAAACAAACAAATAAAATTAATAATATACTGCACGAATATAAAAAAACCTCAATCTTAACGTCCGAAAATGTAGTGTATAGCCTTACATGCTCGTTTAGAGAGTCTTTTTCACATAATAACCCTAGCCCATACATCAGACATACCAACAATCCTCTCACATAGGCTTACATACAACCTTAACGACACCAGCGCCATAATCATTCAACTTGACACAACATACCACAACACTAGGAACACATTCAAATCATACGAAATAAGAAAAATCTTCATTAAATCCTCTATACACACAATTGCAAAAAACGATTACAAATTCTTGAAGCCATCCTAATTAAAAACCAAAAACTCAACATAAATGAAATAGCATGTAATGCTGACAGAAACATCTTAAATATATTTAATAACTTATCCTTCAAATAATAAACACCAACACACACCTCCTTATTAATAATGAACTAATCCAACCACATCATCTAAATATCCAAAATATTATCTATAAAACTAAAATAATAAGCAACCTATTTCAAATAAAAAAATATAGCCATGATGACGGTTGACGTAACCGAACGCGCTCGGCAAAATACGATAGACTTCAAAAACTTCGACCCAAATATAAAATAACTTGCGAGAAAGCAAGAAAGAAAAAAACAGAAAAAGAAAAAGCTTATTAAACAAATGCATATATATATATATATATATATATATATATATATATATATATATATATATATATATATATATATATATATATATATATTTTTATTTAAAAAATTATAAAATAATTATGTTATAATTTTTTTATAAAAAATAATTATATCTGTTCTACTTTGTATTGAGCACTCTTTTAAGAATAGTAATTGTTGGTTATTGGAATTCATTCCGTATATACCAATTATATATATATATATATATATATATATATGAACCGGACATATTTTAAACGTTATTTTTAAGTAATTTTACACATTCAAGGTTTGTTTTTTTTTGTTTTTGTTTTTTTTTTATACTAGTATTATTATTATTAAATTAATATAGTCAGTGCAAGCTTATGGTCACATCATGTTGAAACACCGGTTCCCGTAGGCTAACCGAAGTTAAGCAATGCTGATTCTGTTCAGTAACTAGATGGGCGACCTCTTGTGAATTCCTGCTTCTTTAAGATGGTGTAATAACTCGGAATTTTGAATCGGAGAGCCGCATTCGAATTTGGGTTCGTTATATTCCCTCAAGCGCAAATACCGCTAACAAGGTGTGAATTCACCTCTCCCCACCCCCAGCAGAAGGGTGGGACAGATACTGTGACGGCCCCGGGCGTCAATATCGAGAGACTGAAATAAAAATTTAATTTTTATATAATTTAAAACAAGTATTTCATGTTTAACCTGTTTTTACATATTTAAAATTCCTTTCTCATATTTCTCAGTACTAGGCACTATAAGCTCCCTACTTAAGTCTTAGAGGAATACAGTTAAGGAATTGGCTTCAGGCATCACCAAAGGTCATTAAATCTCTGCGGGTCACTGCCCGCCAGCTATGGGTTAATTAGTAAGTCTTGTAT